GAGAATGAAGGTTGGGTTCAGTAAATTGTTTCGGTTAATGATTACTCATAATACTTTCCGTAGTTAATCTGCTTGCTCACTCTTCTCACAAGCGAGTACAGATCAAGGTTCCCCACCACCCTCTTCTCGCCAATCCCTAGACAAAATCCAGCCTCAATGAGCTAGCTACAAGTTCCAGCTGTCGCAACCATGGATCACCACCCCAGTTCGCGAAACAACTTCGGAGTGGTGATTCGAAAGATGTAGCGAGTTTGACGAGAAGTTCTAGTTAGTGCATATCGGCAATCTAGGTGGTAACAACTGGTCGCAAACCTGCTCGTTTGATTCGGAGATAAATGGCGGGAATGGGGCGAGGCGCCTCGAAATCGCACGAAACTGAAAGTTCAGCAAGAATCGCCTCGAGTATCCCGCACGTAGCGCTTTCCTGCATTCATCCCGCCGAGTTCGCCTGACGCGCGTCATGGTAGCGCAATGGCCAGCAAGGCACAGTGACTCTAAAGCCCCTACTCGCTGTCAGCCAAGGTACGAAACGCAACCATGGGCAGCATAGAAAACGATTGCCATGGCTGGCTGACTTGCCCTGGGTTTCCAGCCCGGTCTCTCCGGATTTTCAGTTCGTGCCCCACCCAATGATAATCCGCTTGGGAATTCCACCCACCGTGCCTGTCTCACCCAAAAATCCGCTAGGGGGTTCCACCCGCCGAGCCTGTCTCACCCAGAAATCCGCTAGGGGATTCCACCCACCGAGCCTGTCTCACCCAAAAATCCGCTTGGGAATCCCCACCACCGAGCCTGTCTCTATGTGTTTTCCAGAAAGCCTCTCCTCCCCTCTGGTCTCCTCCCCTCGCTGTTGAATGTACATATTCAACCAGCTTGCAATTTCCTTCACCAGTTTCTTGCTCTGAAGTAATTCTGCTGTCTTGATCGCTTCCTCTATCGGTACTCTCACGAATAATTTCCTGAACCTGCTCTAAGACTCTGTTCTGAGACTGCAGATTTAACAACTTAAAAAAGCAGCCTTTTCTGCAAACTTAACTGCCTTTCAACTCTTTAGCACTACGATGGCAACTGTCTGCATGGTGAACGGCAGCCAGCCCGCCAGCAATGACAGACGACCCAACACTGACACAAGGAGGCTTCGAACTACCAAGCAAGGCTTCAGTGCCTTCTTCGCTGCTATGAAATTCGGCAGATTCGAAGAAAATAACAAGCTACCGCAGGAAAGGTCCTTCCGTGCACCACTTGGGTTTTCTCCCCTGCGTCCAGCCGCTGCGAGTGCTGGTAAGGAGGCTGCTGTTCGAGTTGCCTCCTCTGACCTGCCACAGAAGCAACGAGGACAGACGACGCAGCGCAAGCTGCAGAAAAAAGCCCAACAAGTGCTTTCGTTGGCTGCACTTTCCTGCATGCCTACGAAGATTCCGAAGCCTGTGGGCTCAAAGGCTGTTGTGAAGGCACCTGAAGTGAGACCTACACGCAGCAGCGTGCAAGCACAACGGGTCGAGAAGGAAACGTCAAAGTTGGAACAGATCCGGTTGCGGTTTGAAGTGTCAAGACTGTCCAAGACGAGGAGTGCGCCTGCTGCTGCTGTTGCAGCATGAGCCATGAGCAAAGGAATGAATATTGCAAGTGCGAAGCACAGCAGATATTCTGCCTGCAGCTTGCTTACCAGCCATAGAGTTTAGATTAACAGCTGTAAATAGGTGTGTTGAATATGTACATTACCTTATACGACGCAAATGCGTTTATCTATTGAAATCCTTGTTCAATGAATTGTCATTCTCTGATTTTTTTTCTTACTTCAGCTCATTGGTCACTGGCCAACCTGCTATCACTCTTCCCCCACCTGTCTGGTCTCTTCTCCTACCTTCCGTCTCTTTGTCACTTCCCTCACACATCACCTCGCTTTACTTAACTGTTTCTTAAGTGCCATACTTAATTTTTGAATTCCTTCCGAGTCGGCCTGTTGCCTTTTACCTTGATCCTTTACCATTTCCACTTCCTTCTCCGCCTACTCTCTTTCACTTTCTCCTCCCCCACCAACCATCTCTATCTCACCATCCCTTGTCGCACAGGTCTGAACTTTAAGAATCCCCATGAGAGCCGCTCCATCCCACCCCTTCCCCCAACAAACTTTGTCTTGCTACACTCCTTGTTTTCATCAGTAGTTGGCCTTTTCCAACTGCCGTTCCACCTTCAAATCTCTAATTTTTGTGAAAGCTATTGTTCAGAAGGTTTACTGCAGCAGCTGAGCTAGCATCAGGTAACAATAGCTGGCATGAGATGGCATCAGATGTCATCAGCTAGCATAGAATGGCATTAGATGCCATCAAATGACGTCAGATCTAGTGTCATTCTCCTCCCCTCCACTCCTGTCTTCCAGCCTCAAGCGTCCTTCGCCCACCTTTCGTCCAACATCGACTGCCTTCACTGCCCTCCCTCCTTCCAACAACCCATGGTTGAATACGGTGAGGTGAGTGGTTTCTCTCTCCAGTCCTTGTACATATTTGTTTTGACAGTTTGACAATTTCAGCAACTACGTTTTGTTGTTTTTCTATCTCATTCGATCATGTATAGCGAAATTCCAATGGCTGGTACGAGTGACTGTTTGTACTTATTCCAATGAGCATTACTGATTTGTTCAATGTGATGTTTGGAATCGGAATTATCACATTCCATCCCTTTCATCGACATGGTTTAAAGCTCCGGTATACATTTGACAGAAGGGGTTCAAGTTCCTTAGGAACTTGAAAAGTTGCCCCAGAACTGGGAGGCTCAGTTATAAACCCTAAACCCCCACTGACAAATGTATACTGCCGCTTTAACTGACTCGCTTCAATGACTGATTCCGTCAAGTCCTACCAATCATTGTGCGACTGACTGGTGTTCGTTGTCCTGTTGGATCAACTCATGTTAGTGACACCTTTTTGTTACAGAATTCTTTCACTTTGCCGTTATAAACACATCGAAGTGACTGATCTCAGTGAGGGATTCCATTAACCGTTCCATTGATATTTCCAGTGACTCGTCAGAACACCATATTTCAGATGTTGCAATTCAGTGACAGATTCTCTGGATTCGCTTGCCTGAATCCACTAATCACCAGCACCAGTTATTGAATACCACGACCCTTTTTTTTTTTTAAGACCAATTTCACGTAGTCAGCAATCTCACTGAGTGATTCATGTCACTATTTCCAATGACTTGATAGAATCTGGTGCGTATTGTTCCATTCCAGTTGAGAAATGTGCTCTTATTTAAATAACTGATGTAGACTGCAGTGCAGTCTGATAGCTAGTAACTGGTTATATTCTGAATGGCTGTGTTCATTGCACCGGCTGGGCTAACATTTTCCAGCGACTATTTCTAGGGATTTCAGTGTTTGTATTCCAGTTATCATCTTCAAAAACTTCCCTCCAGTGACCTTTCTGATGTGCGCAATGATGGAGTCCCATGACTAAATTTCAGTGAGTGATGGTTCAGCCTGTTTGCACTTTTGTGACTGATTTTTTATACTAGCTTCGTACTTCACAGGAACTGCCATTGCCTTACTAAAGTATTTCCAGTGTCATTTCCCATCCCATCTCAACCCCTCTCTTCCCCTTCTTGGATCCAGAAATGATTGCAGCAGGAGGGCTGGATTAAGAGGCAGCGTGGCAGCTGCGATTAGATGGCATTGTACAGCACCAAAGGGCCTCAGGTGGCATGAGATGGCATCACATGGGATTATTTGGCCATATGGCATCCAGTGGCACATGATGGCAGCAGCTCACATTACATCACCTAGACACAGTCCTTTTTCGCACGTCCTCTCATTGCTGGGGTTCCATTCATTTATGTCAATCCACTTCTTGTTGTTTGTCCTTAAAGTCTTTCATCCTAGCTCTCCTTCCGTTCCCTCTCCTCCCTCACATCCCAACATCAATTCCATTCTATTCCCTCTTTACCTTCTGTCATGCGCTTACTCCTCCCTCCTGTACCTGCCTTGTCACCCTCGACTCTTTCTTAGTTCCTGAAGCAAGTAAGTTACAGTAACAGCTGCACTCTTCAAATTGCTAAAAGTGTTTAATTTCTTCAAGCCTAAACTTGGTTGGTTGGTTGGTTGATTGGTTGGTTGGACGCTTATCTCTCATTCTCAGCTTAATGATTGCCCTTATTCCATTCTTCGTGTCTTTTCTGATTTCTGCCGTTATTTGTTCCAACGTGTTCTCTCCCATAAACAACTCTGTTTATTTACTCCGCTAATCATCTACGTATTCGCGTCTTACTGTTGTAATCAAAGCAAGAGCTGTACTTTTCACTGTTGGGCCAGCATCTCCCCAGGTTAACTTGCTGAAAGCTTTGGCCTAAGCAGGAACATGTATGAGGGTGAATGAATGACACATTAATCAGTGCCCAGCAGCTGTGGCAGGCTCTGGCAGCTCCTGTAGTGGCAATCACTGCAGAGCCATTGACATGGTGCTGGGTGGAATTCAAGGAGCTGATCTGATGCTGCAGATCAGGACCGCAACACGCCAGCAAGCCAGGAAAGGGTGTGATGGCTTCTGGCATTGCCTCTGCCTCAAACGCTGTTACAATTTTGGTGATGTGATGGCTTGCCTTACGGTAATTCGCGCAAAAATTTCGAGCAAACCAAACAAGGCTTTTGACTAGGAGTAATTGAGTAGGTTTAATGTATGCTGCACAATACTAATGAATATTACTGATGAATGGCTTTACTTACTATTACGTATGTGTATGTAATGCCTCAGCTGAAAATAAAGGACCATCGGTGATAGTGATACCTTGCTAGTGGCGAGCCCTCTCGTAACGGGAAAGTTTCAAAATGTTACCGTTGGTCTCAGCGCGAGATCTGCCCTCCTTTGACAGATTGTCCAACCTCGATGGTCTGTCACAGATTGTCACAGCTATTACCGTTTACAATACTAGCTGATCACCCAGACCAGACCTGTTCCTAGCTTCCTTACCTCCGCACAATGTCATCCCTTGGAATTGCCGCCGCGATGTCCGTCGCTTCCGCCGCTCCTCCTCTCTCCGCTAGCGCCGCCTTGACTTGTAAGCTCGACGTTTCTTTTTTGCTGAATGAAGTAAACAATGCGGCTCGATTCTCGCTTATTTAGTATTCTTTTGACTTGTGGATTCGATCTCGACTCGCGCCGTGCCGCCAGTCCACTCGAATTCCTCCGCATTACCTGAATCTCGAGTAGGCGGTTTTGAAAATTCTCAGAAACCACCCAGCACATTACCTAGACCTTCAAGTAGTGATGCGCCGAGGAGGTTCCGAACAACACGAGGCTGCGAAACTGTGCTCGAGATTGCATTGACTGGTGCTATCAAGCCGCTCAAATTCTGATAAGCCTCAACAATAGACTCGAGCTACTAGCATTGACTAATGCTATCATGATGCATTAGTCAATGCTCAAGTAGTGATCAAGTTTTGAGCTCGACGGCGCCTCAATCCGCGCCGACGGCCGTCGCGCTAGCAGTGATCAAGTTTCGAGACGTCTCGAAGCTCAATCCGCGCCCGTTGCGCTAGTAGTGATCATGACAGCGCATAACGAGCGAAGTTTTAGTCGACTCAAAAGCCGTCGCGCTAGTAGTACTTGTCATGACAACGCATAGTAGCGAGAATCGCGCCACGCGATGAGTCTGCATCGCCGCGCAACGCGATCAGTCTGCAAAGAAAATCCGAAGTGGGAACTGCTTTCGCAACCTTTCCCCTCCCTCAAACTCCTTTCGCAACCTCCCCCGAGTGTTCTGATTGAGAATTTCTCACTGGCTGACGCGGCTCCACTCCGCACCCCCTGTTCCGGCTCAACCCCTTTAAAAAAACATCTCTCCCACCCCTCCCATCTCCTCTCCCGGTATTGAATGATATTCCTTTTCCTTTCCCTTTCCCGTTTCATTTTATTGGATCCCATCCCTTACCCATATTTCTCTGCCTTTCCCTTCGCTTCTCCTTCTCTCCTCCGCCTCTCCTCCTCTCCTCCTCCTCGCTTCTGTCACCCCTTCCCCGCCCCCATCGCTCCCATGGTCCCGCCACGCCGATCTGATCGCCCTCACCATTCCTCCGCTCTTATCGTCCCCACCCTCCCCATCGTGCAGCCAGAACCTCAATTCCCTCGCAACAGCGCTTCGCCACGCCACGCCAGCGCGCCTCCTTCGCATCTCCTTGTGCCACGTCATCACCACCACCACCATCATCACCACCATCACCATCATCATCATCCCATCAGCAGCAGCGCCAGCAGCAGCAGCAGCAGCAGCAGCAGCAGCAGCAGGCATCACGGGAGCACCGCACAGAAGCACAGAATGGGCACGCGGGAACCATGGCTGCATGTGCTGCTGCAGTGCTCTCTGCCACTCTGCTCTGTACGTATCTGCCTTCCCATAAGTTGTGTCTTGTCACACATAGTCCGTCTGGAGAAATCTTCCCAAAGGAATCTTTCCAAATAATTCTTCCCAGAGGGATCTTCTGAGGAATCTTCCCAGAGGGATCTTCTCAGAGGAATCTTCCCAGAGGGATCTTCTCAGAGGAATCTTCCCAGAGGAATCATCCTAGAGGAACCTTTCCAGAGGAATCTTCCTAGAGGAATCTTCCTAGAGGAATCTTTCCTGAGGAATTTTCCCAAATGAATCCTCCCAACCTAGTCACCAGAGGGCAGCAGTACACCTTTTTTCGCTTCTTGCTCTTTCCTCCATGGTATGGCAATGCATTGCGCGAGATTCTCAACAAACTTTCTGTTTATTACCCGTCCGTCTGCTCCTTTCGCTCCGTCTATTTGCTACATCCCTCCCTCCCCCGTCCCCACCCATCCCATTGCCTCAACGCTTCTTCCTGTAGCATTTCTGAAACCCTTACTCCTTAATTGGCTGATCCCATTATCGATGCACTTACCCTCACCTGCAGTGCTGCAGCCACCTCTCGCCCAGGACTTCTCCTTCTCATCGCCCTCCCCCTCCCTCCACCCTCCTCACCCACCCCATTGCGTCAACGCTTCTTTCTATACCATTTCTGAAGCCCTTATGCCCCAACTCAATGTTCACACTAACCTTGCACTTACCCTCACCTGCAGTGAAGCAGCCACGTCTCGCTCAGACGTCTCCTCCTGCTCACCCCTCCCTTTTTCTCCTTCCCTTGTAACCTCTCTCCTACCCCCTTCCACTTCACCTGCAGGGCAACAGCCCGCTCTAGCTCAGGACGTCTCCGTGTCATCACCAGCAGCAGCAGTGTTTGAGCGCACATGTGCTGGCTGCCACGCTGGCGGCGGTAACCTGCTCAAGCCGGTACGTCTAGTCATGTCACACCCTTTTCACTGTCGCCACCACCAGCAGCAGTGTTTGAGCGCACGTGTGCTGGCTGCCATGCTGGGGGAGGCAACCTGCTGAAGCCGGTATAACGTTAGGTCAGGCACATAACAGCCCATGAGTCCCTTCGCTGCCACGCCCACCACCATCACCGCCAACAGCAGCAGCAGTGTTTGAGCGCACGTGTGCGGGCTGCCAGGCTGGCAGGGCACCTGCTCAAGCAGGTACGTTGTTAAGGCAGGCACCCTAGCAGCCCAGGAGTACATCTCTCCTTATTGCGCCCATCATTGCCAGCAGCAGCAGCAGTGGTTGCGTGCACATGTGTCCCAGCCACCATGCTGCTGGACCTCAGCAGCAGGAACCCCCCACCCCGTTTCGCCACGTGATAAAAGAAGTGTTTCGAGGCATCTCAAGGCAGAACACGATGAAAGAAAAAGTTCACGTGGACCTTAGCAGGACACCCCCACCCCGTTTCCCAGCGCTCCCACCATTTTCACCAGTGGTAGTGTTTGAGCATATGTGTGCTGGCTGTCACGCTGGTGGGGGAAACCTGCTCAAGCTGGTGTGCTGTTAAGGCAGCAAGACCCCCCACCCCCTCCTTCCCCACTCCTCCACATCCTCACCAGCAGCAGCAGTGTTTGAACATACGTGTGCTAGCTGTCACGCTGGTGGATGGCTAAACTGCTCAAGCCGGTATGCTGTTAAGGCAGGCACCTTAGTAGACCAAGACTTCCCCACCACCAGCTTCACCAGCAGCAGAGTTTTAAGGCGGCTCGAAAGCCTTAGCAGCCCAAGACTCCCCCACCCACCACCTGGCTGGTGGCACCAGCTTCACCAGCAGTGGTCTTTGAGTACACTTCAATAACCCAGCACATGTGCTGCACTGCTGCTATGGCACATGTGCTGCACTGCTGCTATGGCACATGTGCTGCACTGCTGCTATGGCACATGTGCTGCACTGCTGCTATGGCACATGTGCTGCACTGCTGCTATGGCACATGTGCTGCACTGCTGCTATGGCAGCTGCCTGCCAGCCTCTCCTCTCAGCAATCCCCGATGTTCTTCCCATTGGGTGATTTCTGAGAATTGCTGCTACACTGCTACGCTTGGTTGTTGGCCCATCGATTCTCATTTGAGTTATTGTTCGCCCTTCAGGGCTACTCCTGGTTTTTTAGAATTCTCATAAACCAGCTCTGTCATCATTTGGTCTTTGAAAGTGGGCTGGCCTCTGTTGGCTGCTATGACAGCCTCTCCAGTTCACCACACTCTTGAATTGAGTCGAATGCTCACCTGCACATTGTCTCCTCTTCACAATTTCACCACACACCCTCTTGGTTGTGTTTTTCCCGTATCTTCTCTTGTCTCCTCCCTCTTTGCTCATTTCTTCCTTCTCGCAGGGTGCGGGCCTCTCACTCGCCGATCTCCAAAGGTACATTCAGTGAGAGTGAGGAAGGGAAGAGGTACGTACAGTACATCTTCCCTTCCGCATCAACTTCCTATCTCGCTCTCTCGCTTTCTCTATTGCACACTTTTCGATACTCTCGTCATCTTGCATGACATCCACCCATTCAGGCAGTACCTTATCCTGGCAAATGTGAGATTCTTGAAGTTTCTCAAAAATCACAAACCCCCTCCCTCACTCAATACTCGTAGCCTTTCTCTCTTGTATTTTAGAGAGCCTCAGACAAGCCTCATGGTTCGCTTCGCTTCACCCACCCCCACTCGTCAATTCCCATGCTTGCTTCAGGAATGGGCTCACCTCAGCAGATGACATTGCTAGAGTCACTGCATTTGGCATCGGTCGCATGCCTGTACGTATTAGAGCATTCTGGACTCTACTAGAATGCCGATATGTATCCATAGTATGTATCAGAGCATGTCGGACTCTAGTAGCATGTGTATATCTCTTCGCATGTATCCCGCTGAACTCCAGTTAGTCTGTATGTACCCAGAGTTCTCATTTTGACTTTTGAGATGTCTCAAAACTGCATGTATCCCACATGTACTCCAGTCGTTCTGTACCCTGAAAATTTATCGAAGGCTTTGCTCGACCAGTGCTTGTCGGTGTGTTCAGCCTTTAGCTTTCGAGCCTGAAGAAGCCTTACAAAATGATTTGAGTGCTCCTTTCAAACATCTAGTAACTTGTAATTGAAGTCTCATAGAATCTCCAAACGTCTATGAAACCATTTGTTTAGGTGCCTAAAAAAACACACCGCCCTCATCATACCCTCATTTTGATTCAAAGTCGGTCTCTTTGAACAAGTCCTCCCATTTTTTTCTTGCATTTTTTGTCCCTCTCACTTCCTTATAGATTGCCCCCATTCTCTTTCTTGGTAGATCCAAACCCACTCCATTAGAAACTATTTACTCTTCCCGTGAGTGCGCGCCATGGCGTTTTTCAACACCACATCTCAATTGCTTGGCGTTCTTTAGCCCGACATTCGCTAGTTTCGCAGTCTTCACTTTTGAATGAACATGATGGAGCCTCGTGCAAGCATTCCATAGTCTGTCAGACGACCTTCTTCTTGCGATTCTGAGACGGTCATTCAAACAACCCGATTCATGCGTAAGTTACATAGGTAGCTTGTGGTCCCCCTCTTTCACTTGGTTCTGAGACCGTGATTTACTTGCATCTTTATCATGGTCCTACAACCAAGTGAAATGGGGGACCACAATCAACCAATGCAATACTCGCACGAGTTGGGTTGTTTGAACGACCGCCTCAGAATCGCAAGGAGAGCGTCGTCTGACAGACTATGGACGCTTGTACGAGGCTCCATCGTGATGGTTCAAAAATAAGGACTGCGAAACTAGCGGATGACCGGCTAAGGAACGGCAAGCAATTGAGATGTGGCATTGAGAAGCGCCGCGAGAAAAAGAAATTAGCGTATTCACGATAAGAGTAGCCCCTTTCCCTTTCACGTTTCCCCCTCCCTCTCCATTAATATGTTTTTCCATCTCATTTCCCCTTTCCCGCCTCTCCTTCCCCCTCCCTCTCCCTTTTCCGCCTTCCCCTTCCCCTTCCCCTTCCCCTTCCCCTTCCCCTTCCCCTCTCCTTTCCCCCGTTCCCCTTGCTTCAGGGCTATGCCAAGGCCAGTGTAAGCACCTCGCTCCCCCACCACTGCTAGTCTAACATTCTACCTCATGCCCCCTCTCTCATCCCACTTCCCTTTCCCCCTTTCTCCCTGCTCCCCTCAACCCGACACGTCCCCCCCATTGTCTCCCCGCCAGGGCTACATTGGCTACATGGGAGCAATGCAAGGGCTTTGAGGCTAGATTTTCACTGCCCCCCTGCGCCCCCCTCACCCTGCCAACACTCTCCCCTCTCCCCTCCTCTCTTTTCCCACTCTCTCCTCCCATGGCTATGGGGAGGAGTGCAAGCCGCGGGGGCAGTGGACATTTGCCTTTCTCCCCCCCTCGTTTCCCCCAAACCTCCCCCCTCCCTCTCCAACTCTCACACCAAACCCTCAACCCCCCTCTTTCCCTCCAAACACGCTCCCCCCTCCTCCCCAAACCTTCCCTCCCCGGCCCTATCTCCCTCCCAGGGCTATGGGGAGGACTGCAAGCCGCGGGGGCAGTGCACGTTTGGCCCGCGCCTGAGTGCTGACGTCATCCGCCAGCTGGCAGAGTACACCCTGGCACAGGCAGAGGCAGGGTGGCCACGCTGAGTCTGCTTCTTGAAGGTTTTACTATACTGTACGAGATAATAAAATGCTTTTGACTGGTACCGGTACTTGGAGCTTGGACTGGCATGGCAGGCAGGATTGTACTACATCATGATGCACTAGAACGTAGCAATGCCACGATTACTAGCATTCCTCGCTTTCTGATCTTGTAACGCAACAACTGGCTCTAATCACAAGCTACTGTAGTATGTTTCTCTCCGCTCCTGCCTTGGCACATCCAGCAGCAGTCATTGGCATTGCCCTGAGTTACCATGACCCATTATGACCCATAGAGGATTGATTGATTGGCTTCACTCCACCCAGGAATGACTACGGTACTTGATTGATAGGGCCTGAGCGGCAGCCAATGCCATCGAAATCTAAGAGCGTGTTACGTACCCCTTATTTTGGGGCCCGGTGTCAAACTATGCATATTGTGTTTGTGTAGGCTGCTAGTGGGGTAGCCCATATGGGGTACAACCCAATGTTAGGGTTAGCTTATGTACCCAACTCTTGATCAATGCATTCATTCTTGTCTCTAGATTCTAACATGGTTTCAGAGCAGTAGGTCCGTAGGACCGTTTTTTTTTCGGGCCCACCTACCGCTACCCCACGCCTGTGCCTGTGCCTGTGCCTGTGACGTGCTGCGCTGCGCGCGCCGTCTGCCTGTAGCCTACTGCCTGCTGCCTACTGTGTTGTCTGCTGCTGCTACCGCGCAGACCTAAGTCACGCACGCTGCCCGCTGCTGCCTCAAGCGTCGCCCTCGCTGCTCGCGCCGCTCTGCTGCCCCTCACACGCCGTCAGCGCAGCGCACAGCCCCCAGCGAGCCGCGTGCAGCCCCGTCAAACCGCGTGCAGCCCCGTCGAGCCGCGCGCAGCCCGGATCTGCCGCGCGCAGCCCCCGCCGAGCCGCGCGCAGCCCCGTCGAGCCGCGCGCAGCCCCGTCGAGCCGCGCGCAGCCCGTTTTCTGCTGCGCGCAGCCCCGTCGAGCCGCGCGCAGCCCGTTTTCTGCTGCGCGTGGCCCCGCCGAGCCGCGCGCAGCCTGCTGCTGCCGCGCGCGACCCCCCCCGAGCCGCGCGCAGCCCCTGCCGAGCCGCGCGCGGCCTGCTGCTGCTGCGCGCAGTCCCTGCCGAGCCGCGCGCGGCCAGCTGCTGCTGCGCGCGGCCTGTTTCTGCCTCCCGCAGCCCGCGCTCGGCCCACAGCAGCCCCGCGCGCTGCCCTGCATAGCCTGCAGCTGCATCGGCCCCGACCTTCCGCTGCTGCGGCCCCTCGCTGCTGCTGCCGAGGCCCCGACCTGCCGCTGATGCGGCCCCCACTCTGCGACTGCCGCTGAAGCGGCCCCCCACCCTGCAGTTGCTGCGGCCATACTCTACAGTCGCTGTTACGGCCCCATCGCCGCTGCAGTCGTGCGCCTACTCGGCCCTGCTCGCCCGGCGAGCACCTGCCCTTCCAGCCTTTGGTGAGCACCTGCCTGCCTGCCTGCCTGCCGGCCTGTCTGCCTGTCGGCTTGCCTGCCTGCCTGCTGGCCTGCCTGCCTGCCTGCCTGCCTTTCGGCCTGCCTGCCTGTCTTTTTGCCTGCCTGACTGCCTGCCTGCCAGTCTACCTGCCTGCCTGCTGGCCTGCCTGCCTGCCTGCCTGCCTGCCAGCCTGCCTGCCTGCCTGCCTGCCTGCCGGCCTGCCTGCCTGCTGGCCTGCCTGCCTGCCTGCCTGCCTGCCTGCCAGCCTGCCTGCCTGCCTGCCGGCCTGTCTGCCTGTCGGCCTGCCTGCCTGCCTGCTGGCCTGCCTGCCTGCCTGCCTGCCTGTCAGCCTGCCTGCCTGCCTGCCGGCCTGTCTGCCTGTCAGCCTGCCTGCCTACCTGCCTGCCTGCCTGCCTGCCTGCCGGCCTGCCTGCCTGTCTGCCGGCCTGCCGCGCCTGCCCTGCCCGAGCTGCTGCTGCTACTAGCTATTAGCAAGGGACCAGATGCAGCTCCAGCGACGCTCACGCGAGTCTCTCACGCCCCAGCAGCTTAGTGAGTGGTATACTAGTTGGGGCTGTCGCGGTAGCCGTCGTAGCTGTCGCCCTGGAGCTGGTCAGTTGGGGGCCTCTAGCAGTGGCCAGCTGCAGCTGCAGCGGCGTCCACGCGAGACACTTACGTCTCGGCAGCTCGAGGAGTGGTACGCTCAGAGTAGAGGGTCTCTCAGTCCAGTCCGCTGCCGGTACGTCATTCGCACAGGTGATCGAGCTGGTCAGACCTGCGGGACGCCTGGTCACACACAGTCCCGCTGCTTCGCCCGCCTGAGCGACGCCTGGCGTACCGAGTTTGGTGACGAGGCTGAGCTCCCCACCTGGCTGGAGCTGCTTAGCCAGAGGGTAGATATCTTTGCTCTTGACTATGATGCTATTCTCACTGCCATGTATGCATTGCCTACTAGTGCTGACCGAGCCTGTTACCTGTGCGTACCGCCTGACCCAGGTATAGAGCCTGCTGCTCTCGGTGCTGGTGAGGCTGCTGCTCTAGGTGCTCGTGCGTCGCCTGCTCTAGGTGCTGGTGAGGCTGCTGCTCTCGGTGCTACTGCGTCTTCTGCTCTAGGTGCTGGTGAGGCTGCCGCCCCAGGTGCCTGTGAGTCTGCTCTCTCTGGTACTGCGCCTGCTGCGGCCTTGCACACCTTCACCCTCGACTCAGGAGCTTCTCGCTCCTTCTTTCGCGACTGCACCACACTCACGCCGCTTAGTCGGCCGGTTGCAGTCTCCCTGGCGGACCCCTCTGGGGGTCCGGTTGTTGCCCACTACTCCACGGTTTTGCCGTGTCCGGCCGTCCCATCTGGCGTGCTGTCAGGTCTCTACCTCCCCTCGTTCTCTACGAACTTGGTGAGTGGAGCTGACCTCCAGGATGGGGGGGTTGACCAGTTCACTCCTGCGGGTCAGCGGGTGACTCACTGTACGTGTGCTCGGACGGGCCGACACCTGGCCACGTTTACCCGTGCACCTGGCTCGAGTCTGTACACACTGACCACTGCGGCCCCTCAGGTAGCTGCGTCTGCGTCTGCGTCAGGTCAGCTGTCGGCCCCCTGCGAGTGTCGTGCTTTGTCGCACCAGACCCTCCTGTGGCACCACCGCCTTGGTCACCCCTCGGTGCAGCGCCTTCGTGGCATGCACTCTCGCTCTCTGGTTTCTGGTCTCCCCAGGACTCTGCCTGCCCTCCCTCCCTCGCCTGCGCCGCCTTGCATTCCCTGCGTCGAGGGGCGGCAGCGCACCGCTCCTCACTCCTCCTCGTTCCCTCCCACAGAGGCTCCCCTGCAGACTCTCCACCTGGACGTGTGGGGCCCAGCCCGCGTCCGTGGACAGGGCCACGAGCGGTACTTCCTGCTGGTCGTCGACGACTTCACGCGTTACACCACGGTCTTCCCCTTGCGCAGCAAGGGTCAGGTCCCTGATGTTTTGATCCCTTGGATCCGCGCTGTTCGTCTCCAGCTCCGCGAGCGGTTCGAGAGGGACTTTCCTGTCCTGCGTCTGCACTCTGACAGAGGTGGTGAGTTCACCTCCGACCTCTTGGCAGCCTACTGTGCGGAGCACGGCGTCCGCCAGACGTTCACGCTTCCGGCCTCTCCGCAGCAGAATGGGGTTGCTGAGCGCCGCATTGGCTTAGTCATGGAGGTCGCTCGTACCTCCATGATCCATGCGGCTGCCCCTCATTTTCTGTGGCCGTTTGCGGTCCGGTACGCCGCGCATCAGCTCAACCTCTGGCCCCGTGTCTCCTTGCCGGAGACCTCGCCCACACTGCTGTGGACGGGGAAGGTTGGCGATGCATCGCGTTTCCGGGTCTGGGGTGCTCGTGCCTTTGTCCGCGATACCACTGCGGACAAGCTCTCCGCCCGCGCTATTCCCTGTGTCTTCCTTGGCTTTGTCCCTGACGCGCCTGGTTGGCAGTTTTACCACCCCACCTCGCGTCGTGTCTTTGCGTCTCAGGACGTCACGTTCGACGAGTCGGTTCCCTTTTACCGTCTCTTCCCCTACCGCACTGCCCCTCTCCCTCCCCCGCCGCTCTTCCTCGCTCCAGGTGCTCCCCAGGTCGACCCTCTCCCCGCTCCAGGTCCTGCTCCCTCAGGTGTGTCTCAGGTAGACCCTCCTCCCTTCCCTGCGCCGGTTGAGGTCACTGGTGACTCAGAGCCTGCTGGGGGTGGTCCTGCTCGGGGTGCTACTTCTGGGGGTGCTGAGCCTGGGGGTGCGGAGCCTGGGGGTGCTGAGCCTGGGGGTGCGGAGCCTGGGGGTGCGGAGCCTGAGGGTGCGAGCGCTGGAGGTTCTGGAGCTGCTGGAGGTCCTGGTGCTGGTGGCGCTGGAGCTGCTGAGGGTGCTGGCGCTGAGGGTTCTGAGTCTGCTGTTGCGCGGTCTCCTTGGAGTAGCCACCTTCGTCCGCGTGTGCCTCTCACCTCGCAGCAGCTGCACGACTGGTACGGTCGCCGTCAGGGTCGCGCTGCTGGAGCCCGGGGCTCTACTGCTGGAGGTACTTCTGCTGCCGTCCCTGGAGCTAGGAGTGGTGCTGGTACTTTGTCTACTGGAGGTGCTGGAGTTGCTGGTCCCGGAGCTGCTGGTGCTGGAGGTACTGGAGCTGCTGGGGCTGGGGGTGCTGCGTCTGGAGGTGCTGCTGCTGGAGACACCGAGGCTGGAGACCCTGGGACTGGAGGTGCTGGTTCTGGGGGTGCTGCTGCTGGAGACGTGGAGGCTGGAGACCCTGGGACTGGAGGTACTGGTTCTGGGGGTGCTGCTGCTGGAGACGTGGAGGCTGGAGACCCTGGGACTGGAGGTACTGGTTCTGGGGGTGCTGCTGCTGGAGGCACTGGAGGTGTCGGTTCTGCTGCTGGAGCTTCTGGAGCTGCTGGAGGTGCTGGAGCTGCTGGGGGTGCTGGAGCTGCTGGAGCTGCCGGTACTGGTGCAGCTGCGCCGCCACGACTGTTCTTCGCTCCGCCGTCTCCGTCGTCTCTGCCGCTGCCTGACTCTGTTCTTCGTCAGGTTCTTACTCTCCCGTC